GTAACACATTCCTCCAACAGAGATTGTGAAAAGTAATTTCTAGGCATTTTAACAGCCTTTGGTTAAACTTTGGGTTAAGAAAGTAAACGTTCAGTTAAGGTTATGGGGTTAGACTAACATTTTGGTCATACTTGAATAAGACGCTCTAATCAATATTTTTTAGATTTCATACAATATGGAAGGTGTTACTCAAGACTTTGTTACCCTCATTTACTTTCAATTTTGCGTCTTTTAGCTCAGTGCATTGGTTTGAATGTTCTTGACTCACTCTCACTGATGTCATCAATGTGATTTCCAGCTGCAGAAGAAAGCAGCTGTTTTCAACCACAATGCTATAAAAAGAGCCAGATATCTCCTACTGGAGTTGGTGGAGACCGAACCAGAGCGAAAAAAAAAAAAAAAGTGAATGTTGGACTTACAGTACATTCATCAGGTGACCAGAGACACAGCTTCAGTATTTGCTGGAAGTGTAACTAGGCATCTGTTTGCTAAGACATTCACCTTATCAACTTAATAAAGTGATAAAGTGTCAATGTGGTGTTAAGACTATGTTGCGCTCTCCCCAAGTTGTAAAAGAATAATAATAAATGCAGCTTTAAGTTGGAAATGTGTAAAACTTAGTTATTTTTAAAAGAAAAACAATTTCTTTTTCATGCAGAGGACCTAACACCATTCTAGTTTCCTTTTGAGAAGCTGGCAACATCCTTCTGTTTTGGCTCAAAATCCAGTCCATTCGTCAGAACAGCAGTCTGTCACTGAGCCAACACAGCGCACAACTTCAGGTAATACTGCTGGCAAACTAAAGAATAAAACACACACCATCCATTTCACCCTCTTCTCTCTGTGCCTGAAGCTGTTTATACAGTCTATTGTGTAGGATAAATTCTTACTGAAACAGGTTGGGCACAAATAACCACTTCCAGCTATTCCTTCATTTTCCTTTTTTGAATAGAACTCATAGAAAATAACGGATATGGTTCGCTTCAGCTTAAAAACATGACACATTTCATTACACAATATAATAAGTTTTTACACGATAGCTTTGTATTTATAATAATACAATCTGTGGTTCAATCGCACTAATACAATTTAGTTTTCAGAATAATGCTTTACATGCCAAACCTGCAATGAGCTCATGAAATATTATGTAATGTTTATAAATTAAACAGCATCTGTAGATGGGATATGATTGTCTACTGCTCATGTGCAGGTGTGGAAGTCATTGGTAACAGAAGTATATTCAATGTTGATACTTTATTATTTTACTGCATTTAATTCTGTGTTTTTGACTGAGCAAACTAAGCACTAAGTTTCAGTGCTTTTGTACCACTGACATTTTTGATTTGATCACATGCTGTGATTTTGTTCTTGGCTCCACCAGCAGGAGTGAAACAAACCAGTAGTCTTGTTTATTTGGTCCTATATCTGTCAGCACGGCAGAAGAGAATATCTCAGTGCCACTGACGGTTGCACAATAATGGAGTGAATTAACCAGATACTTGTATGAGGTTGCAGAGTGCCAGAGTGATTTCACTGATTTTTGGAAATTAGCTCCTTTTCCCCCACTCTCTCCTCCCCTCGTCCCTCCTTGTCATATTCATCCCCCACTCGTCATCAGGACAGTAGCAGAGATAAGGGACTCCCACAGTCCAGTAAGACCCAGGTGACGTGCCCATGGGGTCGGAGGGGGTCACGCTGTCAGACACAAGAGACTGATGGAAGGCCCTAATCCCGCCGGTGTCACGAAGATGGATCAAATGAAAACACACACACACACATTCATTCCCCCACATTCATGCACAAAAATGTATATGGAAGATTGCAGCTACGCACACATGACAACAGACCAACATTATACAAAACTTACTGTATGTGTACATATATAAAATATCTTACTCTCTTATTCTCTATTTGATACTCTTACTTTCTCTCAGTTATGTACAAACACACACAAGCACATGCACACACACACACACACACACACACACCCCCAGTGCTAGACTGACAGAAACAGGTTGTCGGCAGGGTGAGGGGAGATGTGACTCATGTCCAGCTCATTTATCTGCAATCCGTGGTGTGTTTGACTGAGTTTGAGTTCACAAACAGGTTTCTCACACACATTTATTACCGCGACAATACTGTGCGAAACATGTAGCAACACACTGAAGAAGATTTGGCTTATCATTAAAAAAAAAATAAAAATACAATTAAGCTTCAGTGTTTGTGAAAGGATGGGGCTGGTGTTATTTTAAAATTTTCTTATTGCCAACAAATCCCAGGAAAAGACCAAAACCAGTAAATGATTTAGTCCAACTCTGAATACTTTCTGACTTCCCTACCCTGTCTGTGGCCTATTTATTACTACTAATGGCATAAATCTTTAAAAGCTGGTCTCATATACAAAGTTTTATTTTTCAAAAAGGTTCAGTAATTTCCTTAAACAGCTGGGCACTGTCGTTTATAGGAAACATTACTCAAACACAAGTAGATTGTGCATATATCTAAGGATTATTTTCACATGCAGATGGATACACATTTGGTGTATTAGTGAGTATTTACAGCAGCAGGAAGATGTGTGCGGGAGTGAGTCAAAATAAACTATAGTGTGTGTGTGGATTGGTAATGACGGAACATGTCACCCAGTGCAACAGTGTAGTTTCTTTATGTGTTTTTTAATAGTTTATGGATGGAGCTCTACGGCACAGAGGATTAAGATACAGTGTCTCATGCTTTGAGCTCAGACAATATAGAACATGAAATGTAGATGTTGGTTTGGTTGGATTCTTGGTTTTGGTCTTTTTGTGGGATTTGTTAAGAGTATTAAAAAATTTTAAGATTGACAGCCTAAAAAACTGAACCTTGAATTGGAGAATCCTAAATAGAGGAAGCTAACGTAGCTTGTTAGCTTCTTTTGCACTATCAATTCTTATTAAACCTCAATGATAGAAATACATCTTTTGAATAAACTGTGAACCTATTTTCCTGTTAGTGACCGACCTCTTCAATAAATCTTTATTGAATTAAATGATGCACAGTCCTGAGAACAAAATGCCAGTGAGCAGTAAGTTGCACAGCACAGAGAAAATAGAAAATACTTCTCTCTCTCACATTCACAAAAACACATACAAACACCATTTATCTCTTCCTCTGAGACACGTGCACCACACAGCCTCACTGACGTATATTTTCACAGCACACACACACAGACACACACACTTTAATTTATACTGACACACAGATGGCCCCTGCTCTGACCACAAATGTAGTGTAACCCCTGGTCCCTGCGGTGCGGCCGGGGCTCAGACTGCCAGTAAAAGCGAGGGATGCTTCATGGCTCAACAATTCGCTGGGTAAATGGAAAGGGTTTGGTGTGTGACCTCAAACACTCTCCTTTCTGTCTGTCTTTTTTGCTCGCTCTATCTGACTTTCTCTTCCTTCTCTCATTTTAGTCCTCCTGCTTTTTGTTGGCTTTCTCCTAATCTGATTTTCTCTTGGCCTCTTTTTATCTCTTGTTTTATTTTTTTCCCTTTTCCATTTGCCTTTGAGACAGCGGACATTCAGATCTTTTTTATTTTTTCACTCTCTTTTTTTGTGTTTTTTCTTGAATGACTATGTCTACAAAAGAGGGTCAGATTATATTTTAGTGTCCAGACAATGATAAAGGGTAATTTTATCTAGTTTATAACCGATTTTATTTTTTCCCTAGCCCTCACCAGCAGAACCCCATAACAAGTTGTGCCTTTCTTTTTACGGTACAGTTTTATCTCCGTTCTTTCTTCTTCTCTCATAGCCTCCATCTCTAAATCTTTACTTCTCTCTTCCCCTGTCCTCTCGGTGGAGGTGTGATCCACCTCCCCTCCTGTCTGAGAGGTCAGGAGCAAAGTGAGGACACCATGAGGAGGAAGGCAGACCTCAGCTCACAAATATGAGCAGTATGAGGCAAAACTGTGCATTTCTGTAAAGTGTGGTTCAGTGGGTTTATTGAGTAAGGGATACGCTGAAATTTAGTCCAAAGTTTGGTTTAGCCAGAAAGGTTTTAATGGTATTAGAGACATTACTTCATGGGGAAGTGGCTTCTATCGTGAGTAGCGTGCAGAGATTAAAAATCAGTGATCAGAAAATTGAATAATTACATCCTTGCTTGATCCAGATGTGGTTCATCTACATATGATTGCTGTCACACACAATTGCTGCCACTGCTTAATACGTCATATCTAATGAGTAAGAGGAGCTCCACACAGAAACAGAAAGAAAAAATAGCACAGTCCCTCAGCTATAGTGTTTGCTAAGAGAAAATATGAGCTTGTATTTTTGAAATATGGCTCTGAAATTTCATATTGTGTTTCACTAAAGTGAGAAAATCTCAAGAGGTGTGAGAGCCTGCGTAACCAATGTCAAATCCAGTCTTGCTATCACCTCAAAGTAAAGGAAAGTCCAGCCAGGTGGATTTGGGTGTGTAGCATTAATGTGCACGCACACACACACACACACACACACACACACACACACACAAACTGAGAGAGAGAAAAAAAAGTCTTTAGATTGGACAGGACAGGCAGGGATCAGGGGTGCAGAGGGAAAGGGTTAGGGTTAACTTTCCTCTAAAGGGTGTCAAAAAAAGGGAACTAAATTGGGTGTCAGAAAGTGCTAAGGAGCTGAAATAAGTCGAGGTCCACAGCTCCCATGTGGGTGGGTGCTCGCTTTATATTTTACAGACAATGTCCCTTTAAAAAGCCCCACGTCTGGAAAGCCCATTAGATGTGCATATAAAATTTCCCCCGTGATTAATAGTTGATGAAGCAGGGTTGTTTGGAGGGTACTACCAACATGTGGCCGGCAGGGCTCCTCCTCTGCAATCTCACGTTACACTCCATAAACTTGCCACTCTTTCCCACCTATACGTTTAAAAAGGAGGAGGGCTCACTTGTCAAGAATGCCTTAGAAGAGTTGTGAAAACAGCCAGCCCGAGAAGGGGAGTCATGCAGTTGCGGATGCAGCTCTCCTGCCGAGCCACAAACCACTCAGATCAGTCAGGGAGAGAGAGTGTGTGTGTGTGAGTGCAGGACCAGGGGAGAAAGTGTGTGAGAGTGTGTCAGGAATCAGAGTGCTCCAAAGGACGTCACACATGCTCCCAGAGAGAGAGGGAAACACGTTGTCACAGGAAGGCGTCTATCCTCACGCGTTCTGGACTGTGGAAGAGTCAACAGCCTCTGACAGCAGTGAGTATTCCAGCGGTGGATGCAGTGAAACGATGATGTGCATTTAGTCAGCTGGACTGGATATTTCTCAGAAGTGATACAGATTTCAAGACCTAACTTACTTTCTAAAGGGGGGGGGGTTTAAAATACCTCACCACGAAAAGACTTGTAATAAGACATTATTGAAGAGTGTGTGAAGTGTTTCTGCATCACCATGGATCAGCCAGCCAGCAGCTGCATGCGGAGCACCCACCCCAGCAGTCCCATCTGGGGCTGCATGAGGAACCCACACTCAGGGGTCCCGGGAGCAAACCTCCAGTCGCCCTACCAGCAGGGCCCTTTCTCCCTTCACCAGAAGCCCGAGTTCCTGGCCTACACAGACTTCTCCAGCTCCTGCCTGGTGCCGACCGCGCCGCACGCAGCCTACCCCCGAGACGACAGACTCTACCAAGAGAGCCAGGGGGGTTACCAGAGAGCTGACTGGCAGTTCAACCCCTGTGAGACAAGGGTGAGAGCACCCGAGGCCTGCGCGCCCGTCGTCACCCCCGCAGTAGTAGGTGGCGGCGGGAGTGGAGGGCCTGAGCTGGACAGTGTAGGGGGAGAAAGGCTGCCAGGTACCGTGCCCGGGTGCCTGGAGGGAGAATACTCACCCCAAAGCGTGGCGTCGGCCGACTCAGACAAGAAGAGCTCCAATAAGAGGAAGAGAGATGTCACAGGTGAGTAAGGCTTACGCTGTGATTGATGGGAGTCAGCTGGGGTGTGCTGGTTTATAGGGAAAAGAAGAGCATCCAAAAACTCATCACAGGAGGCTTAGAAAAGGAAAACACATATTAATAAAATGCACATTTGGGAGCATTAAAAATCAGAATGGACATTCCTCTTTTTCCTACTGTACACTGGTGTATAGTGGTGGTGGAAATATAGAGAAGAGATGGGGAGGAAACATGGAAATGTTCCAAGGAATCAGCTCAACTCTTGATCTGGCAAAATTTCTTAATTTACTTGGATTAGAAATGAAAAATTGATTCCCATTATTTTCTCTGCAACAATAGACAAGTGTAAAAAATGCTATACGGACATTGTTGCTCCTGAACGTTTAGATATGTCAAGGTTAAGGATTTCTTCCTCGCCCTATATCACAGCTGGCATTGACACAAATTCCCTCTATTTCCATCTTAAAGCTGCACTCTCACCAGATCACTATGTGAAAGGTGAGTAGGTGACGAGACTTTTGTGTTCGAGACACACACTTTAAGTAACAGTTGCATCCTCTTATTGTTCGGGGGCTTTCAAAATACTGAAATGATTAACGAGGCATCTGAACGTTTCATTGCGCTCCTGTATCCGTTGGAAATAGACCATTGTTTTATAACAGTCACAGCCACATGATGCTGGTAAAAAAAATGACATCAGGCGTATGGGGGGAAAAGTGTTAAAAGGCATCAAAGGTGCTTCAGACTGAATTTATTATTATTTGATTTATAAGTCTCAGAAGTTAATCGTTCAAATAAATTCACACATAATCCCACTGTAGTTGATGATAAAAGATCAAATGATTGTTAATTTAAGAACTTTTAACTATTGAAAACAATAAAGAGATCATGTAAAAAATACACCAGAAGACATAAGATGATAATATTCATATTACATGCTACCTTCACCATGTTTTGCCACCAAAGAATGAGCTCCATGTCCTTGCATATCCTCATATACGGTAAGAATGGTGTTAGCACTGTATGCATTTTGGATTACAGTGTAATTTATCCCTCCTATCATATTTCACACTTACTTAAAGGAAGAAAAGAGTAACTATATCTGTGAAGGTCTTACATGTTATATTTATAGCAAGAGCAACAGGCTAAAGGAAATGTTCATGTTTAAACTGCATCTAAAGGTGTGAAAGTTTAAATACTTTGAATTTCGCACTGGCAGAATGAAAATAAAACAACGTCCAACACATCTGCAGCATTCACAATTCATCCCATTCCTTCAGAGACTCTTCTAAACTGCAAAGATGATGGTTAAACCTATGCACTTAATAAGAAAGAAAATGTTTGCAGTAAATACAATACATTTCTAGTTTGGAGAGCATTGTGTCGTCTAGTAAATTTTGGCTTAAAAAATGTATATATTTTAAATGAGATTCAATCATATGGACAGTAAGACTCAGTATTTACAAATCTTAATGTTGAGTTTAATGTGCTGCATGATGCATAACTGTCCAGATATTGTCACTGAAGTTATAACAGAGTGTAACTGGATTAAAATTTGTCCAAACAAATTGAAGCATATCAGATTAGAAAGAGCATAAATAATTATTTGGGGAATAGCTACATGGCCTGTATCTGCAACAGACACAATCCTAATTGAAGAAGATGGTGGGGGAGTGTAGACCCCCTCTCCCCCCTCCCTCCCTTCCTTACCTTATTGTAACCTCCACTCACTACACTGAAAACATGCCAGACCACGTCTGGTAAAATCACTTGCCTGTGAGCCCACTTTTTACATTCTTATCCATTGACATTTTCCTGTCGTTAAGCCGTAACACAATCTCCCACTGAGTGCATGCAACATGTCTGACCACTACATCAGCTCTTGGTTTCAGAAAAAGAGCCATTCAGTCTTGAATGGCTCGAGCTGGTAGAAGAGCATATATTAGGAAAATGTCCTGAAGGCATTCACATTACAGACAGAGCTGCTACACAGTCTGCTCGTATCTGTGTGTGTTTATACAGATATGAAAATGTGGTGCTTTCACAGAGACGTGTCCAAAACCCTGCACTCACTCTGCTATCTGATATTGACTTCAATCCAAAGTTTGATCAGTATTTTTTATAATACAGTACAGTATGTAACAGAGACGTTCATGTAAACATTCTGCTATTAGCAAGTAAACATGCTATGAAAAATATTAATAGTGTGATTATTATTACTATTATTTATATCAATATTTCTTAATGTTCTCTGTAATTTCTGATAAACTGACATATGAATAATAAAAAAATTCAGTTTAATTATAAAACGAAACATTAACACTTAATTTTTACACCCCACTTAACATTTATTACCAGTTTATAAACACTTAACAAATGGTTTATAACATACTATGATGTAGTTGTGAGCAAATATAAGGACATTTTAAAATTCACATTATTTTGTTACACGTATTTTTATTAATGTATTTTTCACTATTTATAACTCCTCTTATGATATAACTCCATTACGAATAAACAGTTATATATATACATAAATGCATAAGCCTGCGTGATGATTACAGTATGTTATAAAGCATCTATTCACATTTTACACACACGTATGATCAATCACAGGTGGGTTTAAAAGTGTTGATAAATGTGTAAATAGATTATGTATAATTTATGTGATCAAGTAAAATTCACCCATTCATGCATATTAGTAAACACTTATAGATAATCTTATATCTGCTCACAGAAACATGACAAAGTGTTATAATGTGGTATTAACCATTCATTAACTGAATACTGTTTACTAACTGTAAATAAGGGGTTTTAATAGTGTAACTAATAAAAGATCCTAATTCATTGTGAAATCCCGGCTCCCACTTTTACACACGCAAATTATGTGATCAGTCAAACGTGTAATTTTCGCCTGGGGTTTTTACTTTAAAACAATCGTGACTTTACAGCAGCTTTAATTCAGTCCTGATTAAGACGAACTGCTTTTGCACCCTCCGCCCAAAAGAAAGGTACCAAATGCTGTTTGTCTTTGGGACCCTGCTGGGTGCAGAAGCCTTCTCCCTGCAAGTTTACGGCCTCTGGCTGTGCAGGATATTTATTGGGGGTCTGTTTAGTGAGAGCCAGTGTGTGCCCCTGCCAGGTGTTCAGTCCAACTAAAACTGCCTGGCACAGCTCCAGACCAGACCTGCCGAGGCCAGGCAGCACCGGCACACTCAGGGCAGCGTGTCATTAGTGACACTTAAACCAGAGTGAGAGGGTTTCACTCGGGTGTGACACATGGGCACTCCAGCACACACATCCTGGCGTTTGCACACGTTAAGCAGATATGCACAAACTGCTCACATGCGCACACATGTCCTGGTCTGCCCAGTCACATCTGGACCAGGTACTGCAGTCCATTTCACGTTCTGGCCCGGTGCTCTGGCAAGCACCAAGAAAAACTTCTCACTTTGACAAATTAGAACCATTTTCTAGAGATTACATCAGCTGCTAGTGTCGCTACCAATGCACAATTATTACCAAAAAACTCATTCCTTTTCATACACAAGAGAAGTTTTACTGAAAGTCAGATCAGCTAGCTTTCATTTGTACTTACCCTGGTAAATGAGGTTTAAAATTCCACCTTTAATAGGGAATATGGAGGCAGAGAAATCTATAAATCTTAGCACATCCCTTGTCTTATGAAATATTAACCCCACTGCCACATTCATAGAGACATCTCACGCTTTTTTTTTTCAGATGTATTTGCTGTCATGCAGAGATGAGTTAATGTGAATCTCCCCTGAGTGCTCCAGTTGGAAATCTCTCACACATGCACACACACACACAAACACACACACACACACACACACACACCCACGTAGTACTCAGACCTGGACACATCCGCACCTTTGTTCTTTTGTTAGAGGCTTTAACGATGTTCCGCTGCATTCCTCTCCTAACTCAGTCCCTCTGTGGCTGGTTTGGTGGCCCCTGCCCTGTGCCGACACATTCTCACACACACCATGAATGAATGTACAAATGCACAAATTTATACTTATATCTTCATACAGGCAGAGTACAAGCAAAAAAACACATGCACATATGTACTTGCATGCTCACTGTACACTAAGGATACAGGTGAACAGGGCTCATACGCTCAGGTCAGGGTGGTCTCTTTTTAAAGTGCTGGTTTTGGTGTTTACTATATGAGGGGCCTCCCACTAAAGAGTCTTTGAGGTTGTAGTTTGTTGGTTGGAAAGGTCCTTAAGGTCTGTTTAATAGTCAACTAGGGGCTGGTCACAAAATTAATGGATAGCTAATTCAAATCAGATTAGCTGTGAATAAAATGAAAATAGAGGGTCAAGTGGTGCCATCATATGTAAAACCTTTTGTATTTATTTTTGCTCTGTTTTAAGCAAATGTGATTAAAAAAAAAAAAAAAAAAGCAGAAGAAATATATGCATAACTTTCTATGAAATAACATCAAGTGTGTTTTCTTTGAGAGAACTATTTGAGAAGTAGACAAACAGGGTAAGAGCAACCTCACCCCAGAGCTTGTGTGAAACGCATTTTCTCTCTCCAGATATCCAGGAGTCCAGTTTTAAGGTGGACTCCAGCTGCAAGGCCCGGAAAGAGCGCACGGCGTTCACCAAGGAGCAGCTGAGGGAGCTGGAAGCCGAGTTCACCCACCACAACTACCTGACCAGGCTCCGCCGCTACGAGATCGCCGTCAACCTGGACCTCACAGAGAGACAGGTACACCACCGTCCCCTCACACATGGATGTTAAAGGATAATGATTATCATTTCACAGTAGCTGCACATCTATTTGTATTTACACCTCTGCAAGATGGATGAAGTAAATAATGAGAAAACAGTAATGCGATTTTGGAGTAGATATATTTTATACCAGAAGCCCCAAAATCTAGTTGAAATCTTTGTAGAAAGGTTTATGTTATGAATACTAAAAGATTTGAGATAAAAAAAATGGATTCCACCTTTTCAGCAGCAGAATTCCCAATGAAAATTTTACCTATAAAAAGAAAAATAAACCACCATCTTAAACTAACACCTTAATAACTCAAGTGGCTTAAGAATATCATGGAGCTTAAAATTAAAAATAAAAAAATGGACCAGAAAAAATTGAATAAACAAACCTTCTAAAAAGGTCGCCATTGATTTTTTTAAGGTGGAGAGTGTTCGAAATGACTCTATATCCACTATACATATGATAATATGGCATAAACAGAGTTGCATTTAAATTTCAATGAAGCATATTTTCCAGAATACTTTTCATCCTGTGGTTGCAGCTGAATGACATGCAGCTTTAATGAGTGGGCGGCAGCTCCAGACCTGATGAAATCGGGCGAACATGTGTCGATGCTGCTGGATAAAGCCCCAGTCTGTCTGTCAGGCCCAGTGTCCCAGCTCCTCCTAATGAGGCCATGGTGCCACAGTGACCACACATACTGCCGTCTGCTGCTAAATCTATTTCGCAGACCCCTGAAAAACACACTCACACACACACACGCACACTCACGCACACATTTGTACAGAGAGACCAACACACTCAAACCGCACATGCAGCCAGGTTCCATCTTCACTCAGAGCTCCCACTGCAACTTGCCGGTGTTTTCCAACTCATCCTACGCTCTTTGGCGATTTGCCGTCCTTTCAATCAGTCACGATGAGCAGAGGAACCCGGAGACGAAGAGGCTGCAGTATGTGGGAACAGATTCATCTGAGTCTCAGAGATGAAGGGGGAGATGCTCAGTGTGACGTACAGAGGTCACCCAACACTTCCTTGACCTCAGAAATCCAGCTTAAACTGCACACAGGTTGGACAGCTACAGAGAAACAGATATGAACTGCAACAATCACCTCATAGATTGAATGTAGATGCTTTCAACACGTTTTTTAACTTACTGTGTGTGCTTTTCTAAGTAAAAGAGCATTGAGCTTTGTCTCTTTGCATTATGACCTAATTCAACAGCTATGAATGTTTGTTTTTTTTCTGCCTTAAAGCATAAGGTTGGTGATAGTTTTAATTTTCCTACTGACAACAAATTCCATAGAAGACGCAAACCTACAACAAATTTATCCTAGGATATATCTCATTCCTCTGAGCCATAGAGCTCCACTGTTTTGTAGAAACAATTAAAAGCACATCATTGAGCCACACTGTTGCACTGGGTGACTTTCCTTCATTACCATAAAAACACACATGGAACTTTTGCCAACTCAATCTCACACACAACATCCTGCTGCTGTAAACAGCAGTAGGACACTAAATGTGTATCCATCAGCTGCTGAAAATAGTCCCCAACAAATGCACAATAAAAAGTACAGTGCCTGGCCTTTTAAGGAAATAACTGGACCTTAAAAAAATAACATAAAGTCATATCTTCAGTGGGAGTCTGTGGGTTTGGGGCTGGGAACCAAAGTATTGAGAGATGGACTAACACATTGTTGTTTCTGGAGAGTTTTGTCAATCCATTTATTCCCATTTAACTCAGCAAATTTAAAAGCTGCAATATCCAAAATAGAAACATTCATTACTTCGTAACTTAAGCATGACACAAGCTCAGATTTAACTTGACACTGAGCCTTGTATCACTATTGAATGAATGATCTACATAGTAGCTGTTGGACTGGTTGTTATAAATGAGTTATATAGCACCGGTCATGCAGTCTGCCACCATGTTTATTAAGTGTCTAACACCCTGGCTGAGGGTTCTCCATCGCAGATGTAGCTAAAGTTTCTGCCACCTTTTCCCTCGAATTTCCCCGACTCTCAGGAAGTGTATGTTTTTGCTGCTGTTCTTGGCCAGACAGTTAAAGCATGATATTCTCATTTCAGAACAGTGCAGTGATACAAATGAGCACTATCCACGTTGTGAGTAAACTTACGTCCTGTGTAGGCTGACATCCTGATAGTTGACTCTTCTGACCCGCTGTCCATACGATACTCTCTGCCTGCACTAGCACAGGTTCTGAGCCAGAATTGAGCTGAGCTCTGACACTGACTCTGACAATTCATGCAACTTGCAAGGCCAACCAAACCCAGCCAGTTTATATACTGCGCTGGGAGATTTGTGGGAGATTATTTGTCCATTTTTCTGCTGACCGTGTTGCAAAGCAGAAAGAACAGCCACAGTGATCCTGTTACAGGTTCATATGTGGTGAAAAAACATATTCTGCACTGTGTCTGTGTGTTACAGACACTTATTGTTTTAAATTCTTATGCAGCTCAGTATTTATTCATAGTATTAACTGTTATACACTAGTAGGGCTGCAACTAATGTTTATTTTAATTAATTTATTAATTTGATGATTATTTTTCATAGAGGACAAAGAAAACCAGCTAATATTCCTATTTGACAGGCTAGAACCAGTGAATTTTTAATTAATTTTAAGTAATAAATTATTAAAATAGTTGCAGGTTAATGTTCAACTGCATTAATATTAAATTACTACAAAGGGGGGACACCAGGAAGTTATGTCTGAAGCAAATTTATCACAATTATCTCAGTATATGCTGATGACACTATAATAAAACTGTTAAACGCAATCCCTTTTTAAAATGGTTTTAATCTGGCTCTGTCAGTGTTTATGTGACATTATAATCTCTAAGGTAACAATTTTGCTTCTGTGCCACAGGTGAAAGTGTGGTTCCAGAACCGGAGGATGAAGTGGAAGAGGGTGAAAGGAGGACAGTCGGCTTCCCCGAACGACCTGGAAAATGACGACATAGACTCGGCTGCCTCGCCCAGCTCTGAATGAACAAGGGGGAGGGGGTGGAGCATAATGAAAAGGAGATGCTGATCACCTTGTAGCACACAGAGAGAGACTGGGGTCAACTGGACACTGATGCAGCACAATGCAACTTTTGCTCATTTCTTTGGAAAGCTGCAAGAATCAAATAATTCTAGAGACTTTTTTTCATTATTCCCAGGATGAAATCACTGAGCATCTCCTTTGTTGTTTTCTGTTGTAAATAGTTGATTTCTGTCCATAATGAACTGCATTTTGATACACTATTGATAAGTACTAAATACTGTTTTTAGAGGCCACCTCTTGTTGCAGAGATGATACTTGCGCTCGTTGTACAGTCATACAGTGGCTTTAAGGCCAGTGATGACTTATCAGACCGTGATGTGATTGTGTTTGAGGGTATCCCCTTTGGTTCCAATATTGTAATCACGGCCTTTGACGCTTGACTACAACCACCTGGGAAAACTCAGACTGCACAAGTGTTGCCAAGCCATAAGTGCCTCTGAATCAGATGTTGGTTTTTTTCATTTTGTTAGTTTCTTCACCTAGAATATAGTTTTTTTTCTGTCAAACATTTTTTACTATTCTTTTTTTATACATTTTGAATATTATTGATAAAACACAGATGTTGCCTGTTTCTGCAAATAGAATAAATCATCTGCTGCAAAATGGGGAAAATATCTTGATAATTTCTTCCACCCGTAACAACCGAGTTATGATTGAACAGTAGGTTTCCTTGGCTGACGGTTTTATCACGTGTAGTCCATTTGGTCAGATATTAACTTGCTAAATTTGCTTCCATTTGCTATTGATGTTAGCAGCTGACATCAAAGGTAATCAATCATGCATGTATGGTTGTGTACTTGCATGTCTATTTAACCATGAAATAGTATTTTAGCCTAGTTCCAGAGATGCCACCCATATATTAGGTTTTGTTTTTTTTAATTGAGTCAGGTGTAACAGGTCTGATGCTATGCTCATTGGTGGCTAATTCCTCTGTTGGAAAAAGCTAGCCAATCAGAGCCTTTGTAGCCATGTTTAATAATAAGGACACAAGCTTCCTGTGCCAGAGCCAGAGAAATGGTGACCATGAAAATGGGGACAAGCATGGATGAGGCTGATGCAGCTGTACAGAATGTTGTAAGTTTACTTACAGATGAACATGACAAATATTAAAGCTGCACTAGCCAATATTTTTATATTAACAAAGAGTCAAATGACTTTAATTTGAAAGGAAGAAGCCCACAGAGAATAATCACCTGACTTTTGCAACCTGTAACTTTAATATTTTGGCACAATCTTATCGCTCTGATCAACCCTGTTTGCAGCCATGACAGGCAGTTGTTTTCAGAGGGAAAAGCTCCAATAAAGCCACTGTAAACTACTTGGCCTGCACCAAACTGCTGAACATAGCAGAGCATTTAGCAGCTAAAGGACCAAAGTGAGTGAATCACCAGGAACACGGCTCCAATATTATGTTTTCTGCTAGATGTGCAAACAGGAAACTGCTTGCTAGCAGATTCACAATGTCAATGTTGTGTTAACAGCTTGTTTTGCTATCCCCAAGTGGCTAATTGCTCTTAGCAACCACTACAGCAAGTTGATGACTGAAAGTGATACCAGCAGGACCGATTATGTCACTTGCTACTGAAATACAACAACATCCTCCAAGCAAAAATGCGCATAATGTCAGACTGAAAAATGAAGTGAAACAAAACGCCAATTCATTCTGATAATTAGGCTAAATTAGGCTTATGTGCATACCTGTGCACATGCGCCCCTGGGCATCAGTCACATGGTCCCAGGTGCAGTAAAATAGTCTCACAGTTCAGTGAAATCTTCCTGTATGGGGGTAGGCGCGACAAATCTTATCAAGAGGAATTATGAGTGTTTTTTGAGAGCTCCTGTGACACAGCAAGCTTTACTCAAAAGCCTTTCCGATGATGGCATAATTATCTTCATTAATATCTCATATGTGGGTCAGATTTCCCTGAGGTCCGATCGGAATCAGCTCTCATCACCGCCCACCTAGATCCTGTCTGTAATCCTAATGGCAAGTGGTCTCCTGTAGACCCGACGCTGATCACTGTGATTAGTCTGAAATGACCTGACAAGCACTAACACAGCTCCAAGGAGATGTGAGGGTGTGTGCACATGTGTGTGTTTGAGGGTTTGAATTGGAACATTCGTTTATGCGCACCATCACTGTCATTCCAGGCAGCTCACAAAGGGCCATTAACTTGACAAGGTGGAGTTGGGCTCCAAAAAGCTAAACTATTTGGCCCCCGCACACTATTTTCAACGGAAGCATCTGGATGGGGCCAATTTGATCTCAACCTGAGTGGAACCTAGACAAACCCACGCACGGGGCCCCCAGGACCAGAGGAAAAAAAAAAAAAAAAAAGAAAGAAAAAAATCGTGCTGGCTGACCACTTGCGTATGATGGAAAAGGGAAATAATAGGTGGGTATGGGTGAAAAGACGGCTTCTCAAGTACAGGATGTTGTTGTAGCAGGTAGCCAGTCATCCAATTTCCTGCTTCCCAAAGAAAACAAGAGCTCGAGCATAGGAGTCCCCAGACTTACAATGGTGGGCCTATGCTCAGACTCCGGCCAACCAAACAAAGCCTTCAGAGGTTACTGCCCTTTCTGCTGGTCTGCTGGGACTGGAGTTGGTGGGAGGGTGGGATGCTTGTTCCACACACACACACCCACAGACACACACACACAGGCTCGGGGTCAAGTGTTACTGTACGTCTGACCCCTCTGGGCCCCGCTGCAGCTGCTGGGGGTGGAATAACTCCAAGTCGATCCTGTGCCCGTTTTCCCCCTCGCTCAGCCTCTATTAGGGTCTATTATTGTATTAGTGGTAATAGTAGTCAAAATAAACCATGTCCAATTGTAATGATAGTATTAATATCAGCAGTGTAAACTAATGAAACTGGAATGTTGTTCTTTCACCATAGAGGTTCCTTTTAAAGGCACAGGGGTGGCCAAATTTATGGATTAGATTTAATTTGGTGGTATTGTGATTGTGGGATGTAAACGCTTGCCAAAACACCAGAAAATGTAGGTTTCCCTTCCACTTATCTGTAGGAAAGTAGCTCATCGTGGGAGTTAAATATATTTTCTTACCTTGCCAATAGCCTTGTACACCTTGTTATGTTTTTATTCATTTAGTCTAAATTGGCTCGTGGTATAAGTACAAGTTCAGGCAACACATTTTCTAAGAATATCACTCTCCATCGTCGTATCCCAGTTGACAGTTGCACAGAATTTAATGCTACGGTGGCGGCCACTAAAAATAAGGATGGATACAGTCCCGGTAATATCTCCTCGGCTGTGATTATAAAAGCAGATTCAGCTGCAGAAAACATTCTTGAAATAACTCCTCGTCTTTGAATACAACCTTCTCTGCGGGCAAAGAGCAATAAGAAAACATTCGTCAGAGTTTGAAGCAGCCAGTGACTTCACCCGCAAGCCTTCGACAGGAATATTCTTAAAACAGGCTTTCAGCACGCGGAGGGTATTGCCACTAAAAGCAAAGATTTTACCAGAGAATTGAGCCAAACACCCTTGAGCCGACCACGTCACCGGCTACAAAGCTAAAAATGTTGCATCTGTGGATAAATGCAACCTGCGGTTAGATGAGCAGCTGCACTGCACCGTTTCCATTTTCAAACATTTCCAGTGATGAATCATTCAGATGGATAAAAGGGTGTGATTGAAAACTGTGGAGAGCCCACAGTTAACTTCAATACTTTCAATACAGTGGTTGACACCCTGCTCTATATACAGGTAGTTACTGAATTTTACTTTATATGAAAGGTCCCATATTGTTTAAAGTAAATTGTCCATGTGTTGTTTGATTATAAAGCAGGTCTAGGTTCTATATTAATACTGTGAAAGTATCAAAGTGCTCAGTCCACAGAGAAATGCACACAGCCTGTATTAAGAAACTGAGCCTTAAAACCAGCCGTCAGGACTTCTGTAACTTTGTGATGTCACAACAAAGCAGTCAGTCAGTCAGTCAGTCTCTTCTGATTGGCTCACTGACCTGTTGTTACTAGAGCTCCAGAGAGAAGCCCGAGAGAGGAGATGTAAAACTACACTGAGATGGTTTTTGGTTCTTAAAACCACAAATATATCTTCTTATGGATCAACACAACAAATAAAACACAGTGTTAAAGTGTTCAGTTTGCAACAAGTGTTAAATGAAAAGGTCAGCCAAGAAAACAGATCAACCTACTATCTAATCATAACTCAGATGTTACGGGTGGAAGAAATATTTTCCCCATTTTGCAGCAAGAGTTTTTAAAACACACACAAAAAAATAACTTTAATTGTTTGTCTCAACCCTTTGAACCAGAATGTTTTTGCTCAGTTTTCACTTTATTTACAGGCTTGTGGCACAGTAAGGCATGTATATATATATTTGTTGTTATTTTCAAGATAAGCTTGGCTACTCAGAAGTGTGAAGTGTGTTTGGTGCTATACATATTTTAGAACAGTGTTTATGGATAAAAAAAACAAACAAAGCAACTAACCATTTTTTTGCTGTTTGAAATAGTTTTGTTGTATTTTCTGTCTGTATTTCTGCAGGTTTTCAAGACTCAAAAATTCATGATTTTAATTTTCGAAACTTTTCTTTTAGTTGCATATATCACAAGAAAATGTAAACGTGTAACATGCAGCAAATTTAATCAGCTCCACTTGCTCATTTAGAGTCTGTAGTTGTGCACTCTCACCTGCTCTACACAGGAAGACGTTTATTTTGAAAACCACCAGCGTTCCAGCACCTCTTGGCGGGAAAGGATCTTGATGGATCGCCGGAGGTGTGAAGGTCATCTCTACAAGAGGCGACCGTAGAAATTAAAGCATGTCCTTCTCCTACTGGGCTCCTCTGCGCTCTGCTCCACCGGCTCCATCTGCTCACTGTTATTGTGCGCTGAGGAGGCAGCTCGTCGCTCACATCAAAGACTCCCTCTACAGAAACTGACAGGCTGATAGGGAAGGAGACCGCTGAAAAGAAGGTGAGATAGTGAGAGTTAAGACAACATCATAATGGGATAATATTGTAGGGGCGTGTGGCTGAAGAAGGAAGGGGAGGGTTTGTGGGAATATTGTGTGGAGACTTGCAAAAAATCATGAAATATTTAAAATTGTAAATAATACAATTTTAATTCTGGAGATTGATGGTATGGTGAATGACAGACTCAAACAACACGACCTTGGGAATGCTCAGCAGAGAAGTCAGCCGTCTTTAGACTCTGCCGCTCGTTAATTCTCATCTTTTCAAACCTGACAGTGAGAGTCTGTCCCGGACATGTCTGTCTCACCTTGCTGACGGGTTGCAAAAGACCACAGCACGCTGGCTTTTATCAAATGAAATGGACCCAGGAGAAACTTAATGTAACAAGACTGTTCTCCTCTCTTCCTGTGTCCCTCTGCTCTGCCCTCTTCTCTGTGATCCCTCATCCACTTGGTTGCAAAGAAGCTGGGAGCACACATCCCATTTCTTTTCATCCTCATTGTTATTTTAGCCCACCTGCAAATCTATTTCTCTGTTTAGTACG